TGATAGCTGAAAAATTCAAGATTGAAACAGAAATAAAGAATCAGGTGCAATAAAAATCACAAAAGAAACCAGAACTTCTTGACAATGAAAAACCAGGTTTGATCCCATCACAACAGGATATACAGTGAAAATCAGTAATTATGGATGGGCTCAATCAGGTAAGTTTGTGAAAATCTACATTACCTTACCTGGAATTCATCAAGTTCCCATTGAGAACATGCAGGTGCAGTTCACAGAAAGGTCATTTGATCTTTTGGTAAAGAATCTAAATGGGAAGGGTCACTCTATGATTGTGAACACTCTCTTGAAACCCATCTCTGTGGAAGGCAGTTCAAAAAAATCAAGGGCCAGGGATTTAGCTCAGTGGTGCCACCTCCTGCCTTGAAAACACAAGGTTCTGAGTTCAATCCCTGGTACAAAAATAAATAAATAAATAAATAAATAAATATGTAGAAAAAAGTTGAAAATATGCAATGAGAATACTTGACGAGATACTTGGCTCAGGTTGAAAACGAGTACAGAGAAAAAGAAAAGTCATCCTAGTGAGGGATTAGTGAATATTCTAAAGAAATTTATGAAGACAGAGATGATGATATGAAGCAAACCATTCATAAAGCCTAGGTGGAATCCGGAGAGAAGCAAGCCAAGGGAGACACAGAATTTTGAGACTTTTAAGTCCTTCTGAGAACTATGATTTGGAAATACTGATATTTCCAATAAGGGAATGTTGGTGAGCTGCACATATAAATTTGACAGATAACTACAAAGCCTTCAAAGTAAAGGCCATTCTTCATTTCTTATTGGAGGATTTATTTAAATAAGATATGTATATTAAACACTTCCTCCAAAGATGGTTTCATTAGTACCCTAGTCATTTTGTTCAAGAAAGGGTTATATGGCATTCTCATTGAAATATAAAAAGTAAGTCTTGCCTAATGAAAATGATACATTATGTGTATTTTTGTTCAGCAAGGTGGTAGGTAGTATTTGTTTGCCTGTAAGTTACAGACCTCCCACCAATGTAAGAATAAGAGTAAAACTGAATTTTTGAATTAAGAAAAGGAACATGTTAAGAAAGGTCACCTTTCTCAACTTCAGCATCAATTCAGTACATCATAGGCCTACTGTACGAATGAAATGTAACTGTATGTCAATGCACTAGTATGCATGACTAGGAACATGCTCCTATGTGTAAGAGTTATAGTAAAATAGAAAGAGTACTGAAGGATTTATACCAGGTTGTACATGTAGGTTACAGGATTGAGAGAGAAAAGGAGGGAATGAGGAAAAGGGAGAAGGAAAAGGGAAGAGGGAAAAAGTAAAAAGAAAGAAAAGAAAAAGACAACATCTATGAACAGTTTCTATTAATGATCCCATCTACACAAACTCCTGTATGTGCACATGTGTTTATACATTTGTGTACACATAAAGAAAAATGAAAAAGGACAATATTAGATCTGTGACTTTCTCAGAATTTTCTAGGATATGCTTTCAAGTAAAAAAGCAAAATAATGACTATTGTGCATGGTATAGTTCTATTTTGGTTTTAAAATTTTCAAATTATATATAAGAATATATTTTAGTAAATGAATGTACAAGAGAGGTGCAAAGTATGGAAGGCCCATGCTGGTTGGCTAACAGTGAATCCTTCAGGAGCATGGAATTGGAAATGGAAACAGCCCATGATGATTAGTGTTCTCTTATACAGCTTTATATTGTTTCACTCATAACAAATAGAATGCATTGATTTGCAATTTAGAAAATATAAAATAAAAAATCAAATTTAGCTATATCAGGCAGCACTTCCTCAAAGAGGTCACTGCATCCTTTCTCGAAAATGCCCTGTGACTCACTGCTTAACCAGAGGCTGAGCCAACAGCTACTATTTTTGGAAATCCTACTCATCATTACCTTCCTCCTGTAACACCTGTTCACTAATCTTTTTTTCTTCCTAAATTTTCAAGTACAGTTAATTTCATGTAATAATCTAACATACCCTTATTATCTTAAATATTCATTCCTCTTAAAATTTTTCAGTTTATATCTGAAAGGCCTTTCTATATTATCTTTGGAACAATAAATGAGTTAATTAAATGAGAAAATTAACTTTTATTAAATTAATCATATCTATTTTGTCAATGTATGGAAAATGTTCACATTCTATGTAATTGTATTATTCCCTCAATCTATAATTTGAATTACAGAATGTCTGGGGACTATTTGACTGTACTATAATTATGAATTAGAAATTAAAGAATATCCCTTCATGATTTCCAGGATGAGGTTCTCCAAAGAAAACACCATATAAATAGCTAAAATTATTGCTATGGGGGACAACACATCCTGGAAACTTCCTTGGACTTAGATCAAAATCAAGATTAACAAATGACTTGGATTACATGGTGGAGACAAACATCACCTGCCTTCATGTTTCACATTTTTCTCTTTTGTACTAAGTGAGGTAATTTTTTTCCAATTGTTATATTAAAAAGAACAATTCAAGATAAAATTGGCTCTAGTTAAAGATAAAATTGAGTTTTTAGATTTCATAAAACTCTAAACAGTGACCAGGAATTACTGCCCCTTCCTAGCATGACAACAGGGATTTATTCCCAGTAGATATTACCTCAGTTCAAATTTATTTTTGATGTGCAGGTTTTGTGTTTTGCTTTTTGCAGTGCTGAGGATTGGATCCAAGGCCTCACACACACTAGGGGAGCACTCTTCTACTAAGCACCATTCTGAGCACTGGTGTTCTGGGCTTTTTTCCAGCTTAGGAGATTGAGATAATACATAGGTTATGCTTTCCAGTTGTCACCAGCCCATTGTTGAAAATATAAAATATATTCCTTTTGTTCATGACTTGATACTGACTGACTGACTTATAGTCACAAAAAAGAGTTTCCTAATTTGATGAAAAATATAGATGAATACTAAAAACTTCTTTAAAAATAAATTTCCTTTTACTGGGCAACATGATTAATCTTTTTTTCTAATAAAAAAATGGATATATGGTGCACTTTTACCTAATGGGAATGGATTTCACTGCCACCAATCTGAAGTACAGTTAATTTCATGTAATAATCTTATACATCCTCATTATCTTAAATATCTTAAATAGAGAAGATGTGAGTGGGAAGCAAAGTACTATGAGGTATGTGAGCCCTTGTGCCTGTAAGGCACCTTGAAGCACTGCTTGTTGGATGCGCTGGCTAGGAAAAGTGATACTTTGAACAGTCAGGAAAAAACAGTATGGAAGATGGAAGGCAATTAGTCAAATGGCTCCAATCACACAGTCAAGAGAGTTCAGAATTGATAGCAGACTGAAGGTTGTACTGTTTTCTGAAGTTACTTTAATCAGACGGTATGGCCTGCAACCACTCAAGCAGGCAGGTTTTTGTTGATGTTTCCTGAAACTCTAAGACACTTCCTTTTCTAATGTGTAGGGCTATTTCTTGGCAAGATCACCTACCACTGTGGATAGCCTAGGTTACAAAAATCTACATCACACTTCAGTTCTTGAGCCTTGGATTTTTTCTTCTTCTTCCCTAGCTTTAATTGTGCAGAAGTAAATGTAGTATAAGCAATGTAAAAATCAAGTCTTGCTAGTTAAATATAAGAACACGGAGCAAAATATCTGAGAAAGGTTACACCTCTTTAAAGATGCAAATTGATAATGGAGCTCAATATCAAAACAACAGAGTGCTGTTAATTTTTTAAAAGGTGCAAATTGCTAATCTTACTTAAGGCTTTTTTTAATTGCTTATTAAGAGTCCTAGCACAAAAAAAATTAAACAAAATAAACTCTTAAAAATAGGGGGGAAAGGGCTAAACATGAGCTCTACTGTAATCCTTTGCTGCATTTTTGGACTTCCTGGTTTCATTAACAGTTGCGAAAGTTTGGAGACTTCATATTATTTATCCCAGGTCAGTCTAGAAGTCCCCACACTTGATTTATCAGTTACCTATTGGCACAACAGTGCTACATAACAACCACAAAACCTCAGTGGTATACAACAGTCACCATATATTTAACTCAGGGTTCAACTTAGGGTTCAGCTTATCTCAGCTGGCCTTGAGCAATCTTTGCTGGCCTCACAGATGCTTCTTCACCAGCTTTGGATTGACTGGGAGGCTCTGTTGATCTTAGCTGATCCTGCTCACATATTGAGGGACAATGACTTGGGAACTAAGGGGACTGGGAGACTGGGCACTCCTCTATGTATTTCTTTTAACAGGATAGGTCAGGCATGTTCTTATGGCCATGAGAGAGGAACAACAATTGACGCAAAACCATATAAGTATTTTTTCCAACCATATGCAATTAACACATAGATTAACATTTGTTTTGTAGTCACCCTGTGATAGTGGTATGGGCTTCACCCAACAACTGATTAATAGATTGGATGTCAAGACTGATGACACTTCACACAAGAGAATTTAAAACCAAGTTTATCATTCATACAAAGCTTTCTTAAGGGAGCAGGGTAAACACAAGACAATCTGGAGAAAGTGGATTGACACTTGGCAAGACAAGAGAAAGTGCATTGGGGCTTTCTAATGGCTGGTGAGTAGAGATTGAGAGGGATTATCTTGTCGGTTATGGTATTCACCCTGCCCAACAATGCCCAGTGTAAGGAGGTGTCCATATGTTTCGTAAGATACCAGGAGTATGGTCATGGGAAAGGCAAAAGTAGAAGTCTAAACAGTTTAACTTCAAAATCAGAGTCAGACTCTTCATTACAAATTACATGGGCCAGATACTCAATTCACGAAAGCCAGCTGGTGCTCTCTGGTGCTCTCTGGAGTTGCTGGCTACCGCAGCCCAATAGTCTTTCTCTTTGGTTCTGTCCCATATGAGAAGCCTGGTGGTACACTACCCACGGTCCTAGATGTACCGCCCCCCCCCACCCCTCTAAAATGTCCAATAACCTACAGAGGGTCTTTCTAAAACCCACTGAGGAAAATTCAGGCTATGCCTGGCATTGATTCAGAATGAGATGGCATCAACATTAGAAAACTGTACTCAAGGAAGCAAGGAGGAGAAAGATTTTCAAGAAAGCATTAATAAGGCATCATATTTGAAGGGTGATGCTGAATTTAAAAAGATATTTGGAGGGGCTGGGGATTAAGCTCAGTGGTTTCGCCACCTGCTGTGCAAGCGCAAGGATCCGAGTTTGATCCCCGGTACCAAAAAAAAAAAAGATATTTGGTCACACTAAAGATTTGAGAGTTTGCCTTACTCGGATTCCTGACCATTTGGGCTCTGGAAAAGGTTTTGATTACTTTAGTAGTTTGATGAAGAATGGTACATGCAAAGAGACAGTGTTTGTGGTGAAGGAAGAGGAAAACAAACAGAATTTTGGTAAGAAAAGAAAAGTAAAAACTATTACGAAGACGGAACACACAAAGAAGAGAAAAACTGAGAGCGTTTTTAAGACAGTCACTAATGGGGAAACAAATGTCACCACTTCTGAACCCCTTAGAAGTATTTTGCCAACTTCAAATATATCACAACATAACATTCTCCCAAGCCACAGCAAAACCAGAGAAGAAAAGAGAACCGATATAAAATGCTGTTCCCAAGAGAAGCAGCGGAAAAGTGCATTGAACTCAAATGTAATTTTTGACCAAAGTCATTCCTTTCATAAAAGTTATACTGAAGATATTTTCCCAGTGACACCACCAGAAAAGGAAGAAACCATCAGAGATGAAAAAATAAGAAGACTTAAACAGGTGCTGAGAGAGAAAGAAGCAGCTCTTGAAGAAATGCATAAGATGCAACAAAAATAACAAAATGTCCTATACTTAAAGACTTCAATGAAATAACTTTTAAAAATAGGCCTTTTTTTATTAATAAAGTAGTTGCCCCATATCTACCAGGGATATATTCCATGACCCACAGTGGGTATCTGAAACTGAAGATAGTGCTGAACCCTGCAGTTCCTTGACAGCCACTCCAATAACTGAGACAGGTACTTAAATACTAGTGTGGATACCACGGACAAAGGTGTGATTTATGTTTTGGGCAGAACAGTATAAGATTTCATTGCACTACTCAGAATGACATACAACTTAAACTTAGGAATTATTTCTTCTAGAGTTTTCCATTTAGTATTTTGGATACCAGTGAAATAAAAACTAAAGAAGGACTACTGTAAGTTAATTACAGATGCATTCTGAAAGTGTTTTTGAACATGAAACTTGATTTTTTATCAACTGATTATAAAATTTTATTTAAGGAATACAGAAAAGCTTTATTCACATGATGTGACTAATATACATGGGGTACCTGAACCATTGTCTTTAGATACCTTCTTTGGAAGGAAAAATTCTTTATTTTTCTATTGTCTTAACTGAAGTTTGGGTACTTGTACAGGGATTTTGTTATTGTATCTTTAGCTAAATTTCTCATGTGTTGCTCTAACAGTAGTTATTATATACTGTTGAAATTCTGCAATTCAAGAGAGGAAATTAGCTGTAAACATAACTTTATCATTGAGTTTGAATATGTACTCTTGATCTCCTTACCCATAAAATGATGATACTTTCTATTTTAAAAAATTACATGGGGCTGGAGATTTAGCTCAGTGGTTCCACTGCTTGCCTAGCAAGCATAAGGACCTGAGTTCGATCCCTGGTACCAAAAACATAAAAAATTACATGGGCCAAAGAAAGCCATAGCCAAACTCTGAATCAAAAGGCAGAAAAATCAAATCCACCAAAAGAAATCTCAAAGTGATATAACAACAGTGCATGGATTTTGTGAGGATGGAGAATTGGGAGAATTAATGCTATGCATCTAAAATGCCTAGTATACACAGTCTCAAGTCAAGTTATTGTTGCCTCTATAAAATTTTCGAACACATATAATGAAACAATGGGTTATGCATCCAGAGACTAGAGATATAAAGGGAAATGATGAATACAAAGAATTAATGAGTTTCAAATGAAACATGGCATCTAAAACTCTTCAGCTGAAGGCTTGAGATGGCTGGAGGAGAAGAGAAGGGCTGTTGGACTCATTTGATGTTTCTCTTTTCCTAAGCTATGATGTTAAGTCTTATGCCAATGAAGTATAATTACCCCTTAGTGAATCCTCCTGAGAATGAAGAACCCTAACCTGGCCATAAGTCTGCACAGAATTTCTCACAGTGTATCATCTCTTTCCCTTACCCTAGTTTTTCGCATTTGAGAAACAAATTTTGATAATGGTCTAAGTAAAATACAGTCAAAAGGGCGAGCTTGCTGACTTCCAATCTCTCCTTCCAGTCTGCCCCGTTAATAATTCAATAGAAAGGTAATATAAGACCTCTTTAGGTTATACACTGTTCAGAATTATTGTTCCCTGCACCACACCAACACCTACACAGCATTTAGTCTGTAAGCTGAAGAGGTGAAGTCCTCTTTAGTTCCCCTCCTCCACATCACCACCCCCCCTAAATACCAGAGCACACTGCATACCCTCATCTGCCTCCTTCAGAAGCTGGACAGTGGCACCATTGGTTCACCTCAGAACCACCAGGGCTGGACACACAAGTCACACCCAGAAAAGTTAAGAAAACTGTTTTATTGCTAAAGATTAGAACAATATCTCCATGTAGCTGAATAGAAACTTCCAACTTTACATTCTTTAAGAAAAGATCCCACTAGAAAAGAATAACAACTCTGTGAGATAGATAGGATAATAACTCTCTGAGGAATTTGAAATCCTACGGAGAAAATATAACAATGAAAGCAAAGCAATTCTAAATGCTCACTCTCTTTCACCTCCCACATCCAGACACCAGCTCTTTCTACGTGATCTCTGAAATGGCCATTAAACCCATTCATTTATCTCTAGCTCTTCAACCTGCACACTGCCCAGATATTTATTATGCACAACTTGTCCATGACTCCCCAGTACTTATAAGAACACTTACCCCTATTACACAAAATAGAAGTCTTCATGAAACTTTCTCATTCCTCCAGTCTTCTTTTCTGTTCAAATACACTCTTCATGTCCCATATGTGTTTCCCTGCACCCACCACATCCATCAGAAGCTCCATTCTTTTGTAAATTATCTCTGCCTAGAATGCCCTAACTGCTTCCAAATGATGATCTTCAAACCATTTTGCACATCCTACTCCAGATGCTTCATGTGCTGTGAATTTTTTCCCACCTCTTCAAGATAGTTCATTGTTTCAGGCCTCTGCATGCTCAAATGCTTTCCATCTATCTCTTTATAGTCTAAATAATAACAATATCATAATAATTTGTCAAACTATTTGTAGGAGCACCTTGAAAGCAAGGACCATCTCATTCTTCTTTGTCTCTGTCCTCATCTGGCCAGTCATAAAGTGCCTCGTACCTGGAAGGCACACAATATGTTCCTGATGAGTGAATGAATGAATGGATGAATCCATTGTTCCTTCTTAACAGATCCCTTACCTCCCTCACACGGACACAGTGTTGTTCCAGAGGTGGTCACTGAGACAAGACAGTGAAAGAAACATGAAAGACATTCAGAAGTGATGGAGAGTGCGACAGAAGAGGTAAATAGGAAGAATCAGAAGACAACAGAAATAAGTTGAAATGAGTTTGAATTGGTGGATAGGAAAAAGAAAAACAAAGTAAGGTAAGAGCTATGACAGGGAAAGAGAGGGACGGAATGGCACTGTGCATAGAGAAAGCAGAGGGGATGGAGGGAGAAGAAAATGAAAGAAACCAATAAGAACTAATTAGAAGGAAAAGGAAAAGACTTATTCAAGGAGTATGATGTTAAAAAGTAAATGAAGTAAAAATTTTCTAAGTGTTAAAACTAGTCAAAAACAGTACAAGGGAAAGAGTTTCACACAGTGAAACTTAAAACAACTGAAGAAAGGGTATAACAAGTCTCAGTTGTGTTTAGATGATATGATACTAAATTATAATTAAAGCACTTTGCCAACACTAATTAATGTAGGTAGATCAATATTATTGGCTTAGTTTTTAAGGGAAGACAATCCTCAAAGCTAGAAGGATTAGATCCCTCAACAGGCTCACAAAATGAGTGTGTTTCTCCAGAAGAGAACTGTGTAGGTTGTATCGCAGAGAGACAAAGTTATGTGAAAAAGAAGAAGACTTACAAGGAAATTTTCAGGCCAAAAAAGGAAAATATAGATGAACAATGGGCAGATTAGACATGAAAAAGTTTATTAATCTGTTCCTGAAAAATGCCCAAGGCTTTTAACATACTATTGTATTCAGCAGTTTATAGTCTAGGATCACCAAGAGTCAAGCTCAAGGAAGAGAGTTCCACTCATCACCAAATCCCAATTCATTTAATTTCTTGATTCAAGGGTAAAGTCAGAGATATAAGGAAAACCTAAAAGGATCTGTCAGGGTTAGGAATCCAACACTAGCACAATATGATGACATCTCCAACAGTTTGTGCCTTCCTTGCCTCTGTATTCCTTGCAAGATATGTCCTTATACACGGGGTAGGACTTCCTAGCAACAGCACAACCCTTGTAACATTTGAGTCTCATAGGCACCCAGTGTCCTTCTGCTACAACTATTATCTTTGGATGGCAATCCCTGGCCTACAAGCAGTCATCCCTACTAGACTGAACTCCTGGAGGTCAGGGCTTGTGTCTTCGTCTCTCAGACACAACACCCAATAACATATCCAGCTGTAGTAAGTGATAAGTAAACTAAGAGAAAGAACAGATAAATAGAAAAATTAGCAAATTATAAATACTGCTCTGTGTTTAAGCCAAGCCCCCTGAGGATTTGACAGCTCTTTGGGCACTGGGCTACAATTTGAAATATTCACCACTAGATGGCACTATTTTAATGAGGTAGTAAAGCTCTTGCACTGAGGTCCTTACTATCAGACGCAGGTGCTAAGCAAAAAGTATTACTCCAGAAGTGAAATGTTCTAACCCAGTAATTTCTTTTAAATTTCCATAATATCTGTGTTCTTCTTTTCAAGGGACAATACGAAGACCCTCTGTTATGGCCATGTAAATCACCATTAGAAAGTCGAATTTTTTCAACAAGACTGAATTGCTTCCCTATTTAGATTTGCTGTTATTGTGAGTGCTTTGAAGCTCAGATACTGGGACTTTAAAAATCATATTCCGGTGGACAGGCTAGACAATAGCACATAAAAAGTCACATGTCTCATGGCATTTATGAGGTCTCTCGAAGTTTAGCTTCACAGGTTATTGTGAATTAGAAAAAGACTGCAGTAACAGGCCGTCAGCAAGTGGTAATCCTCAATGTCTGCAGCCTCCACGAGACAGAGGACCTGTAATGAGTCCTTGACAGTCATGGGTAGAAAGATAACTGAGAAAGAGGAAGGCAATTTCCCTGGGCTTCCTCTTCCCTCCAATGTGAGAGCTACTCCTACAGGCCTTCATTCAGCTCAAAAAATGTTTTTCTCTTGAAGAGTCAAAAAGCAACCAATGACAGTGGTCTTATGTACATATTCATAAACAAAGTTATTACAGTGAATTTAAGCCTGTTACACTAGTTTTATTCATTTTAAAATAAACGTGATATTGAGAAATGATAGGGGTTTTTTTGAGACTGGGTCTCCCTGAGTTGCTAGGTTGCCAATGCCAGGGTTAAACTCCTGATCCTCTTGCTTCAGCCTCCCAGAGTGCTGGGATTACAGGCGTGTAACACTACATCCAATGTCTTTTCATAGTTCCCTTACAGAGGTCAGAAGGCACAGGCTGACCTTTGGAACCTGGACACCCTCCACCAGTAGCTGCTTGCAGGTGGTGGCTTGTCACACCCAAGAAGTTCCTTCTCCCATCCTTCT